ATTTCCACTACAACTACTAATGAAGGTGCATCTACAGAGAAGAACGAAAAAACTACAATAGGCATAACACCTAGTGTGGGTTACACAGTTAATCCACAGGAAATTACTACTGAAGAAAATGGAGGAATAACACTGGGAATTGTAACTGAAGAAAACGAAAAAACTACAATACCTGGTGAGAGCAACACGATCTATCCGCAGGAAATTACTACAAAAGAAGTTGAAGCAACAACTTTAGGAGTGGTACCGAGTGATACAACAACAATTTCGCTTGGAACAAGTTGTGATAACGAAGAAAGTGGAACAACGACACAAGGAAGTGGAACAGCGATTGGGGAGAGTAAGCCAACAACAATAGTAACTATTTTGAATGACGAAACTACAACGTTACCTCCAATTATTACCAGCACAGATGAAATACCAGTAACGTCAGAAACTGTAACTTCTGAAACAACACCAGCAGTGATTACAACTGAAAGAAGCCACGAAATAACCCCAGAAGAGGCATCCACTGTAACTTCTATAACGTGGCATGATAAGCCAGTGGAAACAACAACTAAAACTACACCTGAAGAAATACATACAATATCAATTGAGATAAGTACTAGTACTAGAAAATCTGACACAACAACACCTAGTGAGATTTACTCAGTACCACCTAAGATAAGCACTACGACCGAAGAAGTTACAAAAAATGATGAACCTACGCCAACACCTGAAAACACTGAAACTACTGAGGAATATGTTTCTATCACAGTCGAAAATACACCTAGTGAAATTAGTGAAACTACACCTGATATAGTTACTTCGACTCCCAAAGAAGTGAAACCGATATTGTGGGGTACTCCTGAAACATCAACTAATCGTGAAATTATTATTACAACTGAAAATTGTGAAACTGAAACATTGGGAATGACGCCCATTGAAATAACCACACTTCCTCCTGAAATAACTGGAGTTAGCACTGAGAGTGAACCAATAACGTCAGAAAATACAGGTAGAGATGAAACAACTCCAACAAAAAGTATCACAAGTACCGAAGATATAGGAAAAACAACATTAAGTGTTGAACCCAGTGAACAAACAACTCCATCTGTTGTAACGAGTACTGCATTACATGAAACAACATCCTTAGGAATAATACCAAGTGACGCAACTACACAGGATATCTTTTCTACAACGGGGACAAATGAAGTAACAACATTGGGACCCACTATTAGCGACAGAGTAACAGTTTCAGAAAATGTGGAGATTTCAACTCTGCCATGCACAGATGCAACAGAGGATGCACAGGAGGAATCAACACCTTATTTTACTACACTTCCTCCCGAAATTATTTATCTCAGTGATGCTACTGAAGACACACTTTCTACTTTAAGAGAAGAACATTCAACTGAACCTGCAACAATTACTATTACTAAAAACAATGATTTAACCACATCGGGTGCTACTGAGATCAGTGATGCAACAACATCTCCATCAAATGGCCTCGAAACAATTCCAACCACCGAAAAAGAAATTATACCTTCTACACAACTAAATCAAGACACGACTGTGGTTTCCGAGTGTAATGACAAAATTTCTACAGATTCACCTGAAATAGTAATAACTAAAAAAGATAATGAAGCATTCATAGTAGGTACACCGGGTGAGATTACTGGAATCCCAGTTGAAATCACTATAACCGAAAGAAACGGAAAAACATCAACACATAAGATAATCACTAATCCAACAGAATGGGAACAAACTACCTATGATCCAACAGAAGATGATGCCCTTTCTCTTTTCTTTAAAACTTCTTCAATATCACCTATCGATTCATCTTCAACTACTGAAGGCAATCCACCGCATAATACTGAAGTTACCATTGATGATGCAGAAACGTTGGGAAACACTCCTGCCGAAGTTTACACAACTCCAATTGACAGAACAACTACTCAAGCACCAGACAGTAGGAGTGAACATTCTCCCATAATTTTTCCCACTGATACAACTGAGGAAGAAGACAAATCAACCACTTTGGAACCTCTAGAAGCAACATCAGCATCCACGCCGAGCGAAAATACTCAATCCTCATCCGATAAAACCGAAAGACCTGAAGGAAGTGATACAACACCGAACAGTTCTACTCCTGAAATAATAACAATTTCTTCCGAGATAGATGTTGGTACTTTGAAAAGCGAATCTTTGGGATCAACTACTGAATCAGCAGGAATAACTACAGTTCCACCTGAGACAAATGGTATCCCCACGGAAAGAGACTCAACAACTTTCAAAGACCAAACATGGGAAACAATACCCACAGAATCTTTAGTTACAACAGAGCCATCAAATGGAATCAAGGAACCAGGTACATCTGTAACTAGTTCCAGTCCTGACGACGGAATTACTGCAATATCAAACGAACCGACTACTACAGAGAAGAATCCCGAGCAATATCCTGAAAACTCCCCTGAGGGTACAACCACCACTTCGTCTGGAGTTTCTAGTTCATCACATGTTTCTGAAACAACAGGTAAATAACACTTTAATATTTTTAACAGATTCTTGGAATTTCACAAAGAAATAAATTTTTTCCAGATATAACAACTGCAGTAGAAAGTTCATCTCCAACAACTATGTATCCTAGCACGAATTCTTGTGCTGATGAAGACTGCAATAACACAACTTGCGAAGAAAAACCTAGAGTTCTTCTTGTACCAGTTGTGGAATACAAAGGACCTTGCTTAACTGAAAAAGAATTTCGAAATTATCTTTATAGACTGTTTGACTCCTCAAAAATGAAAGTAAAATGTGTTCCTCTCTAGACTGCATTAGTTAATCAATTAGTTATTTTTTTTTCTTATCATTGATCAATGAATTCTGTTTTCGGATAGTGATTTGATTTTAAATGAACATCATTATTTAACGAAAACAAATGTACAGATTTTGAACTTTCTTATTTTCAGTAATTTTTATTTGAATTTATTTTAATTAATTTATTTATTTATAAATATTTGGTCGGTTTATGAAGTTAATAATTGAACCATAAATAAAGATAAATTGAAAAACTTATTCATTTACAATTGAGAGAATATAAAAACGTCGAAATTGAATTGCAAATTGAAAACAAATATTGAAAAGAACGGATATCTTTACCTAAGTTTATTCTATGTCAATCTACAAAAAAGGTATTTCTACTCACTTTTTTCCTTTAAGTATCTGAGTATACATTGAATGACAATTAATAAAGAAAATTAATAATAAATTGTCAGAAAGAATATTAAAAAAGATACCTAGTCAATAATATCCTGGAGGATTACGGTAGGTATTTAACAGCAGGTCAATTGATCTAGAGCATAACATCCGGTCCTAAATTGCTAATAGTATAATAACATAATTCAACCTAACTGGGTTGAAATCCATTCGTAAAGATGAGTTAGGAGCCCGTAACATGCGTTCAGTCAATTACATACTTTTTGTGAAAACATATTGCGACATTTATTTTTCTCCATTAAAAAAAAAATATATATATATATATATATATATATATATATATATATATATATATATATATATATATATATATATATATATATATATATATATATATATATATATATATATATATATATATATATATATATATATATATATATATATATATAGTTCAAAGATTCACAGGTAATTCAATACTAGTAAATACTGAGACTCTTAATCGAAATATCGAAATATTTCAAATAAAACTCTCAGGGAGCTGTCTACACAAATGTTGTCAACGAGAACGAACCCATCACTTTCGAGAGTGAATATTAAGAGCGTTTCGAAAAGTTCATCGATCTTGTTGAATGATAATAGGATACAATTGTTTCATCATTATTATGAATCATCAGTCCATATTTAATCTATCAATCAAGAATCGATGACTTAATTTGGTATGGGACCTATGTTCGTTTTGAAAGTCATCGATTCTTGATTGATAGATTAAATATGGACTGATGATTCATAATAATGATGAAACAATTGTATCCTATTATCATTCAACAAGATCGATGAACTTTTCGAAACGCTCTTAATATTCACTCTCGAAAGTGATGGGTTCGTTCTCGTTGACAACATTTGTGTAGACAGCTCCCTGAGAGTTTTATTTGAAATATTTCGATATTTCGATTAAGAGTCTCAGTATTTACTAGTATTGAATTACCTGTGAATCTTTGAACTAGCTACACTTTTGCCCGCCTGGGCGTGATCTGGAGCGATTAGGCATGGGATCATTCGTACACATTTCAGACAATTTTCTGTTGTGTTCGAATGAAATATCTACAAAGCCTTCCACTCGCACTCTTGTTGTCATGAGTAGGAATCTTGAACGCTTGGGAGTGTTTATACGTCCTTTCGCCGATAGAGGGAGCCTGTGTGAGTATTTCACTCTCTAGGACTTCTCTTAATTTGGTATGGGACCTATGTTCGTTTTGAAAGTCATCGATTCTTGATTGATAGATTAAATATGGACTGATGATTCATAATAATGATGAAACAATTGTATCCTATTATCATTCAACAAGATCGATGAACTTTTCGAAACGCTCTTAATATTCACTCTTGAAAGTGATGGGTTCGTTCTCGTTGACAACATTTGTGTAAACATTAGCTCCCTGAGAGTTTTATTTGAAATATTTCGATATTTCGATTAAGAGTCTCAGTATTTACTACTATATATATATATATATATATATATATATATATATATATATATATATATATATATATTATATATATATATATATATATATATATATATATATATATATATATATATATATATATATATATATATATATATATATATATATATATATATATATATATATATATCAATTAAAAAATACATCTGGGAGGATGGGAAGGTGTCTACTCACTTTCGCCTTGCACTTTGAAAGACGACAACTCGAGCGTCGAAGACTAGCTTGCGAATAAAAAGAGTAATTAGATGTAAACCGAAATTGCATCTCGAGGTGGAGACCTCGGTAGCTTAGTTGGAAAAAGCAGCAGGGCGTAAACCTGAATACCTGGGTTCGTGTTCCAGTCGAGGTCACAAGCTTTTGTGGTATAATTTCGATTCTCAATTTTCACTATAAAAATACATTTATATATATATATATATATATATATATATATATATATATATATATATATATATATAAAAATTTACTACAAGAAAAAGAATTCTGTAAGTCTCGTGCTATATTATCGCACTTGTAGATATTCGCTATCATAGTATACTATAACTTTTTTTCAATAATTTCTTGACAAATTATTCGATTGAATATTATAGCAGAGCTGGTTATTATCCTTCTAGCGATAAATGTTTGAGAATCTTGAAATCGATGCCTACATTTATTGAAAGCATGATACAGTCACTGTTTCGTACTACAAGGTATTCCATCAGTCACGCCACGTTCAACGAATGAAAGGCAACGATTTCAATCCTCACATACTCTCCTATTGATTGTAAGACAGAAATATAGACTTAGTCTATATGTATGCATATATAATACGAAGATTAATGTACATCTCAAATCTTAGGAATCAATGGAAAGCTGATGAATACATCTACATTGAAAATTAGTCCTTATCTATTAAGATACTATATTTTACAAGTCTAGTTTTTTATGTATATTATATATATATATATATATATATATATATATATATATATATATATATATATATACTACAAGAAAATGAATTCTATAGTTATCGTGCTCATATCACGATGTAGTTCATAATATAGTTATAGTGCTCATAAATTCATATAGTTATTGCAAATATCGAAAATCTCCAATATTAAGATTAGTCGTATACTATAACTTTCCTTCGATAAATTTCCACGAATTATCCAAATGAATATTATAGCAGAGCTGGCTATGAAACATGTACAATGTGATGCCACCATTTTCCTTCACGTCAATCAACCACGTGCGGACATGAATGATATATTATTATTTTTATAGTGAAACTTGAAAATTGAAATTGCATTTTCAAAAGTTTTCGAAAACTTTCGAATCCCAGTCAAGTTCGAGAACTTTTGAAAATGCAATTTCAGTTCTCAAGTTTCACTATAAAAATAATAATAATATATAAATATATATATATATATATATATATATATATATATATATATATATATATATATATATATATATATATATATATATATATATATATATATATATATATATATATATATATTATAAATATGTATAAATGAATGACTACAGTTTTTGGAACCGATATGTATTTAATAATACCTATTTAATAAATATATAGTCCTTATATCAATATATAACAATATATTGAGTCTATTTTTCCTTTATAATTGATTTATGTGCAATTTTTTTATTGTTCACATTCATTTTTACTTTTTTCTATGAATAACGGTACCAATAATACGAAAAGATATTAGATGACATAAAAATATGATTTTTTTCAAAACTTGTCAAGAAATTGCGTTCAATCTGAAAATTGCACCTTATTTGTAATATTTATCCCTCCTATATCACATACTGAAACACCAAATTAAATGAAATAACAAATATTTGACTCAGGATTGGAATCTATAACATTAACCTACCCATCTATTTTATACTTATGACCATCAAAGGTGACTAGGATATGGTAAAATAAAATTCAGAAGTTGTAATGGGTTCTTAACAGTAAGAAATTATTTTATTTTAAGGGGAGAAAATATAAGGCTGATCAAGTTCTTAATCGAAGAAGATTCAATAAATTATTGCCAGAATTGATACTAATATACACGTAGTTGTAATGAATACATTATAATATTACTTGAAATACTTCAAAGGTCAACATGAAGAAATACAATAATACAACTTCAAACATCATAAGAACTTTACAACAACAGAGGTATTGAGGTTCCACGAAAATACTTTCTATTGAACTTTTCAGGTTTTTCAAATGTATGCCAATGAATGAAAATCATAGTTTCTAAGTTAATTATTTCATATTAAAATATGAAGAGTTTACTTTTAAGAAATAAATGTTATAACTGAAACAATTTCTTTGAAATATACGCTATGATATCTGATAACTGACATAGCAAACAAATAAAGGCAATGTTATCGATAATTCGTTTTCAAATTAATGTGTTGTCAATATAATAGGTGCAGGTGAAGTTGAATTAGAGTACAGGAACTTGGGTTAAGTTAGGTTCAATTAGGTTCAAGTTAGGGCGGTTTAGATTATGTAATATAAAGATGAAATACGATGTCACATTTGGCACAATATGGAATTCCCATTTTTGCTTACGTGCATGTTAATAATAATAATAATTATTATTATAAGGTCTTTATTCTCAACAGGAATAATACCGAATTACAGTAAATAATAAAATAATGTTGAATAATAACTAAATATTTAATAGTGTAGGCGTTTACTTGATGTAAATCCATTATAATTGAATATAAACTTAAATTCAAACACTTGAACTTATGATTTACATAACTATATTTGAACTGAATATTACATTAACTATATATTTGACTAGTTCAGATGGGAAAAGTATATAAAAATTATATTTGAATATAAACTTAAATTCAAACACTTGAACTTATGATTTACACTTTATTGACTACATAGCATGACGCGTTTCGTCGTTACAAACGACTTCTTCAGATGCTTACAGAATAATATATTATTACAATAAAGTGTAAATCATAAGTTCAAGTGTTTGAATTTAAGTTTATATTCAATAATAACTAAATAAATGAAATGAAAAGAATTATAACGAAGAGCTCAAATAATTAAAAAAGTAATTAATAATGAAATAATAAAATCAAATGAAATAGTATTCAGAACACAATCTAAATCAATTCATTTCAGTCAATTTTCTTTTTTCACATAACTCCTAATAATAAGTTCTATGGAGTCAAGGCGAAGAACACATTTATTAGCAACTGTATTCAATGTAGACTTCATAAACTAAATGGGGATTGTATTAGCGAGCTGGTCTATTACCACCTACAGAACATACATTTTAGGTGGTAATGGTGGATCTTTGGAGTCTCTGGGTGGAATAAGTCTGTAGTACGAGGATTTTGCCTAGAAACACGAAATTTCAAAGCGGGCAGGAGAGGAGGACAATCAATACTGTTGTGCAGTAATTTGCAAAAAAAAATTTCTCTCCTGTGCTCTAATGAGATTAAACTAAATCGATGCAATAATTCGTTATGATTGACTTCTCTCTGTGGATTTAACTCCTTCCTCTATGTTATGTGTAGTGAAGTTTAAAAATGATAGAAACGTTATTACATTTCTGAAGATTGGGTTATACAAGGTTATAACAGATTTTGATTCAAAATCCGTTCTGCAGATACCTCTTAGTATCGGTGTTGCCAAATACTGATCAGATGAAGTGAAAGACGAACAGACAAAAACAACATTATCTTCTGTGAAAAAAATGGAAATTGGAGCAGATTTTTCAGCCTATTCAATATCATTGTAGTTTAAACAGAGTTCATCAAACTCCATCTGCAAAATTTGGACATAAATCATTATACTGATAATTGTATCTGCTTCGAAATTTTTAGATCTTCACAATAGATTTCTAAGTAATCTTATTCAAATAACGTATCAATATCAAAATGATTTAATGGGACACCCCATTCAATAAATGTAAATTATCTAAATTTTCTAGACAAAAATCAAATGATCTTTAACAGTCGAATTTTTTTTTACAGCGGCAGCTGTTTCGAGGGTCAGTGGCAGAATGGCAAAAGACACGGATTAGGAGTAGAAACACGAGGACGGTGGATATATAGAGGCGAGTGGACACAGGGGTTCAAAGGAAGATACGGGGTTAGGCAGTCAAACACATCGACAGCAAAATACGAAGGAACGTGGGCTAATGGGCTTCAGGATGGTTATGGGTCAGAGACATACGCCGATGATGGTAAGCGGAGTTATTTTGATGCATACGTTGATATTCAGAAGAAAAAACTGCAATTAAAAACTAAACTGATCTCTATCTTTTGCTTTTGAATAAGATTCATTTCAATGAATAGGCCGATACAGCCTGGCGTGATTGGAAAATCATAGGAACTTGATTGTTTGGATGCATGCCACTGAAGATTCCCATAATAGAATGAAACAGCTGTATGGTATATCAACAAGTTCGATATTTTTCGGAATGCACTTAACATTTACTCCGTTGACAACATTTATCTAGACAGCTCTCTGAGTGTTTTATCTGAAATATTTCGATTAAGAATCTCATTATTCTCTAGACAGAGGAAAAAAGAGAGATTTTATCTATTGATGTAACCGTCAATCGACTAGTTCAGTTTTGATTGTTGATAACTTTAGCGGGAGTTGGACAAGGAAAAGCTAAGCCAGGGAATCTCTCATGGCGTCTGTACCTCATAATAAAGCGTCGCGGCGCTGCGTCGTCCTAGATTCATCGTCTGGTCCGCTATTTCGGTCAAATAGCCCTGTAACCTCGTGCCGTACACCAACAAATTCGAAAACACGAGGCAAAGAAATCGAACCAATTTTGCGCTTGAACTTTATAACCAGTTCTAACTAGTTTACAACTATTTCAAACTACTGGAGAATAAATTTGGACTGTTAACTTGGTTTCTGTAACGTCTAAACAATTTTTTCAAAAACTAAATTTTATTATATAGAATATATAATAATAATTGTTGTCTCGACTCACGTATTCGTTACAAATTTATTGAGTTACAAATTAAATTGGTGATTGATGAGGTCGATACTTGAAAAATTGAATCCATAATAAAACAATATTTAGAATTTTCTCATAATTTAAGACAACTACGCATGACGACGTTTCGAAGTGCTATTTCTTTATCAAATGCTGAGTTAATACTGATTATTAGGTATTAATTCAGCATTTGATGAAGAAATAGTACTTCTAAACGTCGTCATGCGTATTTGTATAAAATTATGAGAAAATTCTAAATATTGTTTTGTTATACAAAATTAATCTCGAACTTCATGTACTAGGTTAGTAACATATTTAGAATATGTTAATTCGGATATGAATGTAGCATTTA